TATTATATGTATATTATATATACACTATGTATATTGGAATATATATTCCAATATATATACCCTAATATTGGAATATACTATATATATATACACACTGTATATATATACACACTATATATTTACTAGATATAGATATAATATATATTGGAATATATATTATATATTATATATTGTAATTTATAGTTATATATTTATAAATATAAATAATATAATTATATACATACATGTTATATATATAATATATTCCAATATTAGGGTATATATATTCCAATATATATATTATATATTCCTATATATATATATTATATGTTCCAATATTAGGATATTGGAATTCATTGTTAAAGTAAGTTTTGATTGCTCTTTTTTTTTTCTTGCCTAGAGTTACTTAATTGGATGGAAAGAATTTTGGAAAAACAAATGGCTAATGGCTTATATACTGACATTAATTGTGTCCCTGACTGATTGGATTGTCTCGCTGAGTTTTTTCTGCACAGAGGTAAGAACTGATTTCTGCAGAAACAATCAGCATCTTGACTGTGGAAAGTGGCAGAGGAGAAGAACCTGCCAAGGGATATTCAGCTGGGTGTATATGGTGCATTGGAGGATTGAGATGAGGAGGAGATGGTTCTTTTTTGGTCTTTGATAGCTGGATAACACACAAACACAGAAAAAGTTATTGGTGATGTTGCTTTGCAAAGGATTATGTTTGATTCTTAATGTGTGTTCACTGGTAAAATTAAATAAAACTTTGCTGCTCTGGTCTGTCAATAGGCAGAAAGTTTAAAGAAAACTCACTGCATGGCAGCAATTTTGTCGTGCAGTTGGAGAATTATATTCTTAACTTGATTCAACAGCAGAGTCTATGCAGTGATGTGTAAGTAAAAGGTGGTTTAACAGCTGCTTGTTGAGCTGAAGCTGTGCTGTGTTCAAAGCAATTGTGTTCTGAGGGGAATATCAGATTTGTGAAATGGCTCTACAAGTGCCCTCCTTTATATAATAATGCAATCTCCCAGTTGGTTTTCTGTGCCACGGATTTTCATTAACAATCATTGTTAAGAAAAACACTAAGATGGTAAAAATGCTGGGAAGTGAACGAGGGAGAAATCTTGAACTTTGCTTCTTTTGTCATTTCTCATGTCAAAAGCAGTATCTGCTGTCTTCAGAGAACTTCTAAACCTGTTTTAATGTAGTCAGTGTTGGTCAGGATGAGGCTGGATGCAGGTGCTGCTATGGGGGACACACTGTTTAGCTGTTCATGGTGTTCATTCTCTGATCACTGGTCACTGCTGACCTGGATGTGATGGAGCATCAGAGACCTGATCTTAAAATGGTGAATAAAAATGTTATTAAGGCTTATAAGCATCTAACCGTGACAAAAGTGACTATGTCCTTTTGGTATTCAAGCCAAATAAATACAATGCGGCTGAAAGAAGTTAAGCACCTAGGAGGAAAACTGGGTTTACAGCATGGGGAAGTGATCGTAGAATCTTTAGGGGTGATAATGGATGAGTAGTTTGAACAGGAGCCTCCCACACAAAGCAGTGGCAGAAGGAGTAGTTAAACTGCTGGGATGTGTGAACAAGGGGATAACAATTAAGAAAGGGGTGTTGTGGGGGGTTTTTTTGATGTTAAGTGTGACCCAGAGAAGATTGATCCTAAAATCCAGGATGCTGAAACACCTGAAGCAGCTGATAAATCGTCACAGAAATAACTTGAAGGCTGGCAAGTGTCTTGAAGGCAAGAAACAGATTATTTGCTGTAGTTTTGTGGGGGGAAAAAAAACAATTACAATTTGAGTCTTCTCAGAGACAGAAATTGCTGAGTAATAAGCAGGCTCTTTAATTATAAAACAAAAAAGAAGTCAGTCTGAAAATTGAAATCAAGCACTTATTTTTAGCATGTGTATTTGTTTTTATTGAAAGCAGCTCACTATTAATTCCTTTCCTGAGATAGGAAATACAAAAACGCCATCTCTTGCCAGCATGTTATGTCTAGCGAGCAGTGAAGTTAGATTGTTTCTAATTAGTGGCCTGATGAGGCTGTTGAAATGTCAATGTGTGGTTTTTAAAGCAATCTCTCCTCGTTTTAATGAGGCACCTGAAGTCTGAAATCTCTCTTGCCTGTTTTGTGAGCTCAGTGGGGCAGAGTTACCATCTCAGCACGACCTTCTTCTGTTGCACTGTTGACTTTGCTGGTATTTGAATCAGTGCTTTTTGGCAAACTTGCCTGGGAAGTGTTTGTGTCACCAGTCTTATGGGAACTCAGTGTCTGATCCGTTGGTTTTTGCAGAGTTTGAGGATAAGAAGGATTCTTCGTCCGTTCTTTCTCCTTCAGAACTCTTCTATGATGAAGAAAACCTTAAAAAGTATCAACAGCACGTTGCCTGAAATGGCAAGGTAGGTGATAGTATAGAAAACATCCTTTCACATCAAGCAGGGAGTAATCTTTGTGTTCTGCTGTGTGGAATATGAGCAACCAACTTCTGAGTTCTTGGTGAGATCAGGTAGCAATGGATGGAGGTTGTATTAGGTTTTTGATTCCTTTTAGTCTGTGAAATATCTCTAGAATGCACATGTTGTGACTCTGTATGTGACATAAGGTTTTTGATTGTGCTTTTGTAAGGGAAGAGCTGAGCAAGGGTTTGTGCTGTGTTTTCTCCAAGGCAACCTCTCAGAAATATGGGTAGACACACATGTACTTGTCTTCCAGTCATGAGGGCCACACAAAAAGATACCTCTTTCTTTGCATCTTCAGATGGATGTAAATCTGTCTTCAGAGTGCTATACTTCAGCTTTTTCCTTTCTGAATGGTTTTAGCAATATATGTATATATATTTTTTGGTAGAGATCTCTTCCTGTGACATGGGTCATGTATGTGTAGAGCCCTTACCTGTTACATTTTCACTACCAAGCCCCAGGAGAATCAAAGGTGTGTGTGCAATCCAAGGTGTTGTATTTTGATTGGAGGGTATAAATACGGTCCTTTCTCTAAAAAAAAAAGAAGAGTTAGAATCTCATTGACATCATAAAAAGTCTGAGCTTGTGCTGAGGAGTCTGCACAAGTGTGATTTTTATCTTTGGTTAAAACTTAGATCGCGTTCTATTTCCATATAGCTTCTTAAAAAAAAAACACCAACCTAGTTTTCTTTATATTGCATTTTTAGCAAAGGATGTTATTAAAAATAAGATAAATTTGCTATTAATACATATGGTTTCTTTCCAACAGTGTTGTTCTGCTGCTGGCTGTTCATCTGTCTCTCTTCACCATGTTTGCCATGCTGCTGTTTGCCCGAACAAAGGTAATCACTTCCATTTCTGCTTCGGTGGATCTTGAGGGGCTTTTCTCTTTACTTGCACAGCTGCTTCATGTCCAGTTTTATAATCAAACTAGTGAAACTTGTTTCCCCTGAAAAGGTCATGTTACCTTGTCAGACTTGCTGTGATGAGTTTGAAGTCCATTTGGAGGGGTTTAACATGTGCACAGTATTCCATCTGTACTAGAGACTTCCTTAAGCATTTATCCAGTTTGATCCTTTGAGTTGCTTTCCTTGCTTTTGTTGAAACCCTCTATGCTGTTCTGCATCCAAATCTCTTATCACTTTTTCATTTGTGTTATCACTTATCTCTTCTTTTTTTTTTCTCTTCCTTATCTAGCTGTTTGCTAATTTTTCTTCCATGTTTTCTCACCTTCCAATACTGGTACCCCTGGCTATGCCTTGGTAGGTTTTTACCTGCTTTACTCTGATGTTTTGGTTTCTGATCTCTGGGTTTTCCTCACATTTCTGAAAAGCAAATTTCAAATTTCGTGGTTAAAATAATATTGTGTTCCAGTGCTCTTGCTATGTTCCCTCTCTCTTAAATTTCCTGTATCTTAATGTATTATGCTCAGATATTTTGGGTGGGTTTTTTGTTCCTACTTTTTAAGGCCTTCCATGAATGTGTTACTGTGAGCACAGAAATCTCTTGCCTACTTCTCTCAGTAATTACAGTCCTCTCCTTAATCTCAGTTTTGCACCTTCATCCCTACTGCAATTTGCACTTGAGCCTGCCTTTAGTCTTCCTTGTGGTCAGCAAATTCTTTGAATTCCCGATTTATGGAATTTCTGAAATCAGAAGCAGAGCTCTGTTTTCCTGCTTTAAGTTGCATTCTGGATCTTTGTATTATCTTTGTATGTCACATCTAACTTCAGTTATGAGCTTTCCCAGCAGTGGGAATATAACTTGTATACCTAAACCAATCAATTTTGTGTACATTTAGGTGAAAAATAAAAATTACAGAGTGGACTTTCCTATTTTGGTGTGCTACTCTGACATCCACACAAACTAATTTTATCTGACAAGGCGAATTACTGAAAGCCAAGTTCTAAAAATACGTTTATTAATGAAATTCATGCCTCTACATTTTTGCATTGTCTTATTTATGTCCTCTAGAGGTACATTTTGCAATCTTTGCAGCAGATTCAAGGGCTGTTTGTTCTGTGCTGCATCATTCGTGTTTGTATTGTTTGCACTCTGCATCTTTTTTTGTCTGTCTCTGCTTGACCTTGAAGGGGGGGGGGAAATATGTGGATGACCCAAGATTAGCCTCCCAGTGTGTTTTTGATGAAGATTTTGACACTGAGCTTTAGCAGATCATCTGATGTTTCCCCTGAGCCACAAGATAACTGATGACCTTAGTTGCCAAAGTATTTGCAAATACATTCTGGGTGCTGTAGCACTTATCCTTTTTTTTTATATTTAATTTTCTTTCTCCAAGGTGTTTAAGCTCTAGCGATGTTTTCATCGATATTGTAACATAGCATTTTAAATCTTCATTTTTTTTCAAAACAGTTGCCTGTTTTCTACTTGCCCAGCAATTCCTGTGCTGTGCATGAATTACTGCCTGAGGGGATAGCAAGAAGAAGGGGAAAACCTTTATTTTGCATAGTGGTAGTAACTTTTGTACCAAAAACTGATCATGGGGATTTTAAGTTATTATTTGGAAGTCAAAGGGGAAGTGAAAGACACTCAGTGGGTGTGCTGGTAGAGCTGCAGGTGTGATTTTTTAAAATTATTATTATTTCTTTTAAATCATATTTTATCTGCAGTATAATCTCTTGCAGGCTAAGAGGCGACACTTCTTATATCAATCGAGGGTCGTTTCAGATTCCTGTGCTGTCAGTTTGTGACAGAACTTCTATATTGAGCTTCCTGTTCTTCCTGATGGTTTTTAATTGCTGTTGATGAGTGAAGTGATTGCTCTGTATTCCCACATAATGTCTTCCTTTTGATGCTTGGTTTGTGCTTTTTTCGACGGGGTAGATGTGATTATGTGTATAAGAAATCGATTATTGACTGACTTTAGTTCTTTTTCTCCCCCTTTCCTTGGTAAGACAGTGATTCTTCAGTGTTTCTCTTAACAATGATCATCTCTTTGACCAGGATAACCAGCAGGATAAGGAGTGGGTGGTGTATTTCCGGAATTTGCCGGATTCACTGACATCCCTGCTGGTCCTGCTGACTACTGCAAACAATCCTGATGGTGAGCAATCTTTCAGAAACAGCTCTTGACTCTCCTTTCAAAGAACAATAGAGTTAAGATTACCTGCAGACTACTGTAACCATTCTTTCAGCTGCTAGTTCTTAGTACAACCAGAGGAAGGTTGGAAAAACGTTTTCCATGCCTTCAGTAACTTGATTCTTGCCTTTCTTTGGGGTAATTATATATTGCCAGTGCAGCTGTATAAGAGCTTTTACCAGTTGCCAAAAATTGATTGAGATCTCCACTGTGCATCTTAAGCATTAAAATATTATTTCTTTTTTTTTTGTTAAATCTCACACAGTGATGATTCCTGCATATTCTAAGAATCGAGCTTATTCCATCTTCTTCATCCTCTTCACTGTATTAGGTAAGTTACCTCTTGTCTTCAGTCACCTTAACTCTGACACTTGTGCATAACAGCTACAGGGGTTTATTTTTCTAGGAAAGTTTAATCATAAATTTCTCCTTTTTTTGTGTTTCTTCCAATTATTGTGTAATGTCTGTAAGATAATTTTCACTTGTGACTTGGAGGTTTTGGTAACACATGACAGAGACATGCACACATTACAGTACATAAAACCACTTTGGAAATCAAACACGAGAAAACTAATCTTTTTTAAGTGATATATTTTATTTACTACATGCACTGAAACTTCTTTGATAAATAGGATATGGATTTCAGTAATTCTTACTGCCTCTTTTTCTCCCATAGGCAACCTGTTTCTGATGAACTTGCTTACAGCAATAATATACAACCAGTTTCGGGGATACCTCCTGGTGAGTAAAGCATTTCTAATTTCTGTGTCCTGCCATAACCTTGAACCTGTGAAATATTAAGTGTCATCTGTGCATTAAAGCAGGAGGCCCATTCTGGTTGTAAGTTTTAAGATGCTAAATGTTCCTTGATGAAGATACTTTTTCCATTATATGCTGCTGTAGGTTGATCCCCATCCATGACAAAATTGCTTGCATACTGCCATGAATGCTGTGGATCTGCAACTCTGACTATTATGGGGGGGGAGGGAAAAAATCCTGTTATAAAACTGAACAAAGTGAACGAGTAACTCAAACTTGGTTTTTGTGAAGAAAATCTGCTGTACTCTTTAAATAGCCATTGTTGCAAATCATAGAATCATAGAGTGTTAAGGGCTTGGAATGGACCTTGAAGATCATCCAGTCCCAACCTCTCTGCCGTGGACAGGGATACCTCCTACTAGACCAGGTTGCTCAAGGCCTTATCCAACCTGGCCTTGGACACTTCCAGGGATGGGGCATCCACAACCTCCCTGGGCAACCTGTGCCAGTGTCTCAGCACCCTCACAGTAAAGAGTTTCTTCCCAATATCTAACCTAACTTTCCCCTTTTTCAATTTGTACCCATTACTCCCTGTTGCTATCACTACAGTTTCTGATGAGAAGTCCCTCTCTGGTTCCCTGGAGGCCCCTTCAGATACTGGAAGGTGCTCTGAGGCCTCCCACACATCCTTCTGTTCTCTGGGCTGAACAACCCCAACTTTCTCAGCCTGTCTTTCTAGGGAAGGTGCGCCAGTCCCCTTATCAACTTTGTGGCCTCCTCTGGACTTGCTCCAACAGTTCCATGTCCTTCTTGTGTTGGGGACACCAGAACTGGATGCAGCATTCCGGGTGGGATCTCACAAGAGCAGAGTAGAAGGAGAAAATCACCTCCTTTGACCTGCTGGCCATGCTCCTCTTGATGCAGCCCAGGGTTCTCATGCCTGTGATTTCCTTGAGGTTTAATGTCACGAGAAACTTGGTGACTTTTGGGTGTGATTTTTTTCCCCTTATTTACATATCTTATAGTCCCTTCATTACTGGCTTCCCCTTATATATATATTATAGTTCCTTCCCCTTACTTACATGGTTTTATAGTTCCTTCAGAGGAGTGGAGTGTGGGCTTGGGGGGGAAAAGTGAAGTAATAGCTGCCTGCTTTAGTAGAGTTCCAGAGAGAAGGAGAAGTTTTTTGGCTAGTGAGCCTTAAGCAATGTTACACAGAAGGAATGGCCCCCACTTTCTTGTGGGAGAGGGGTGTTTGAACCTAATATGTGCAAAGAGGATTTTCGGTAATCCTTTTCCTCCTCCTCTGTTTCTTCCCTTCTTTCTCTCTGTTTTTCACTTTCTCACATGAGAGCATGACATAACTTGACTCCCAACAAAGCAACTGAGTTTGAAAGTGGTTATTGTGGAGAAAAAAAAAAGGCATGAAAAACTGTGGCTCTGGATTTGTGCCTTTAGGGGAGAAGCTGGAGCTGGACAAGCTGTCTCACTCTTCTCTCTGCACAGTTATGTGAATTGCTGTGAATCCTTGAGCTTTGCTGTTGCCAGTGTCTCTGGATCAGGCAAATTCCTATGCAGTCCAGAATTGAAAATAAATCATGACCTGGATGTTTACTTGGATTCCAGACTTGTTTGCTTTCCTGCTTGCTTCCTTCCTCCTCGTACACAGATTTCTTGGAGGGAGCGAGGCTCAGGGCAGTCCCCTGTTCTGATCTCTAATCACAGATCCAGGATGTGTGCCAGAGGATCAGTGTATTCTGTGGCCATAGGACGTAGTAGTGCATGAAGTGTGAGTAAATTGTTTCCTCTGTGGTGTTTTCACTGTTCAGAAATCAGTTCAGTCCTCCCTCTTCAGGAGGCGGCTGGGAATCCGGGCTGCGTTCGAAGTGCTTTCCACCCTGAAAGAGACTCCTGCTAATGCCCAACAGTAAGTGAAGAATGTTGAAACAGTCGATTATCTAGCAAAAAAAGTACATTTTTGGTCATCTATGTTTTGTTTATTTACTGAGGATCCACTCTTAAAAACGGCAGTTTGTTTCTCATCTCATTTTATTTATTTTTAATGTAACTGAATGTTTGTAACACACTGTTTGGGACTTATGGTATCTGTTTCCTTTTTATTTCTACTTCTAATTTTACCTGTTTTTTCAAAAAAGAAAGGCAGGAATGCATTTGGAACAGCTTTTTTTTTTTGCCATCTATACAGTTATCTGTACCAGGGCCCATTCTCTTTTCTTTTAAATAGGTCATATGTCAGCAGTGGATCCTTACACCAAGTGCTGCAGAAAGTTGAGATGGATTCTCGCTGCAAACAAGCCATCCTGAGGGTAAGAAATTAATTTTCTTAGCCCTGATGTTGGTGACTGTCAAACCGTGTGATGTGACAGCTGTGGAAACTGAGATTTCCCTAATTACACCATTGATCTAGGAATAGCAGCTTTCAGCTCAGCTCCTTTATGCTGCTTTCTCAAAGTGTGAACAGAAGCCCAGCTCACTGTCTGTTTGTTTTGATCTTCAGAATAAAAGTAGTCCTTAGACAAGGATTTCACCCTAAAGTTGCTCCCTCTTTGGTTAGTGTGATGAGGGATGCATTCACCTGGAGAGAGGTGTAGAGGAATGAAAACTCCTATTTTGCAGAGCTAATTTTTCCATTGGCTTTACTTTCTCTCTGGAAGTATTGTGGTCTAGAGCTGCTCTCTGCCCTGCAGCATTCCTTGGATCATAACATAATAATGGCACTACTGCAGGACTAAAAAATTTAAGTTTGTCAAAAGTGCATGGGGTTCCAGAGAGGGAAAAATAGAAAAGGCAAGAGGAATCCTCCAGTCACATGGCAGTGTTGTGTTAAAGCAAAGCAGTATTGAACCTTACTCTAACAGCTTGGAGTTGCTTGTGTTTGATCTCTATTCCCAATCTTTTAAAGATTGTCTGAGTGTTTTGGCACTTTTTGCAGATGCACCTATTGCAGATTCTGATCTGAATGTTTCTCTTTCATGTGAAGTCGCTCAAAATGTGCTCCTGTGACCAACTGTCAGCTGCCCAGTTCCAGAAGCTCTTTGAAGAACTAGACAAAGATGCCATTAAGCAAGTATGTATCTGACCATTGTTAATGAAACATCAGAAGTTGTCTGGTCCTGGGCAAAAATAAGTGATGGAATTGCTCTATAAAGTGTATAAACAGACTTTGCAACATGTGAGCACAAGGTGCAATCACACGCTGTTGATTTTGAAGTTGTTCATGAGTTGCTCTTATAGTCACAAACAACGTGGCTTTGGGGGCTTTCACAGCATCCATCTGGGATTGTCCTAAATGTACAAAATGCAGGGTTGTTTATTCTGTCAGCATTTTAAAGCGACTTTGCCAAACAGAATTGATAAGATCTGGGTGTGTATTTGTCTAGTAGGAAGATTCATTACAAGGAAACAAAGGAGTTGTATTTACAGCATTGGCTTTCTGAGAGGTGCTGTGGAGAAATGAAATGAATTACCTCCCTGGTAAATTGGTTTTGATGAAATAGGAGGGATTTGTCTTGTTGTGACAGTCCTATATTAAAGGAATGCATCTTCAATTGTATTGGTCTTTGCAGGGTAACACTTAAATATACTCAAAGTCTTTTCTCCAGTCCCTGAGTGAAGAACAAAATATGGATTCTTTAAGTGTTCAGATGAAGATGGGCAGAAAGCAGCCCATCTTGGAGGGAGAAAGAAAAAAACAAAACACAACTGTTTGAGGGTTAAGAAATGTTCTTTTCTGTGTTTGCATGTAACCAAGACTTCTGAATTAAACACTGGGAAATGGGGAAGGAATGGGTACAATTAGTACCTTGGTATTTAGTTTACCTGCTTGAGGCATTGGAGAGGGTTTGGACTGTCTCCCTTCTCTGCCATTCCCTTGTGTTGTGCCATAATCAGAAATGAACTTTTGCTGTGAACAGCCACAGCTTGGAAACATTTTCCAGCTGAAATGTCAAAATTAGCCTGTGGTCCTGAAGTTTTGCTTTGAAAATGTCTGGCTTCTTTTAAAATCTGAGATTGGGTGTGGGGTTTTATTATTTTAGTACTATTAAAATGCCTATGCTTTGATTCTCAGCAAATCCTTTGTGTTCTTTTCAGCATCCTCCCAGTCCAGAGTACCAATCCCATTTTATGCAGAAATTGCAGTTTGCCTTTGGCCATCCCTACTTTGGCTACTTGGGGAATGTGGTAGCCCTTGCAAACATTGTTTCTATCTGTGTAAGTAAAAGGGTTTTTTTGTTGTGGGGTGGTGGGGTTTTTTTGTCTTTTTTTGGTTTTCCTCTGCTACAAACCTAAGTTCTGTTTTTGTTCTTTAGTCTCTCGTTAAACAACCATTTTTTTGTAGCAGCTGGCAGGGTTTTGGCATACTTTAGTCATGTAAAGTCTTTAAGTTGAGAGGGAATACCTGCAGTTAAAAATATATTCTCAGCTGCTTGAAAAAGGTCTGTGCAAAGCATGAAAGACTGTTCTTGGGCTTAAAACTCTGTTTTATGTAGCAGTAAAGCAGTGAATTCATAAAATATTTCCTGTTTAAGGTGGTTTTGGTGATGGATGCAGATAAACAGCCTTCTGAAAGAGATGACTTCTTCCTGGGGGTAAGATGCAATAGCATTCCTACAGTTATTGCTGTTCCCTGAGATGTCAGTAATTCTAATGATTGTTTTTATTTTGGGGGGGTGAAGGCCATCAACTGCTTCTTCATCCTGTACTATCTGCTGGAAATGTTGCTGAAAATCTTAGCAATGGGCTTGAGAAGATACTTGTCTTACCCAAGCAATAGATTTGATGGACTTCTGACTGTAATTTTGCTGGTAAGTGTTCTGTTAAATTCTTTGTTCTTGGGTTTGTTGGCTGGGGAGGTTGGGAACTACAAGAGCTGGTGGGATTGCTCTTTCTTCAACACTGACAGGCTGAACTGAACAACATGAGCAGTGGTTTTCAGTGGCTTGAAAGTTTTTGCTGGTGCATGGTTCCTTTAGGGTCTGCTTTCTGAAGGCAGGCTCATTTAAATCCATGGAAAAGGTGAGTTTTCTTATAAGAAGTCTTTTTATTGCTATTTGGAAACATTTTTCTCTTGAAATAGTTGCATAAGGAGTTCTGTTACACAGCTAAGATGACCTTGTTCTTTCAATAAAAAAGCAGGTTATTGGAATAACTGTTTGGTAAAAGCCTGAAGCCCATGTGGCAGATGAGGCCAAATTCATGGTTAATGGTATTCACTGTGCATCCTTTTATGTGTCACTGTTGAATGACCTATGTACACTGAGATAATTTGGGGAATAACTGGGCAAGTATGACAATTCAGAGCTTTAAAGTGAGTCAAAAAAGCAACTTAATGCTCTTAGAAATGTTTCCTGTCAAGAATCTTACAGAATTTCTGAAACTCAGAATTACAAAGTAAAGTTTTGACCTTTTTTTCTCTCTTTCTTTCCTAACTAAAGATTTTGGAGATTGCAACTTTTGCTGTGTATGGATTTCCTCATCCTGGCTGGTAGGTGACCTCTGTGAACTGTTGCACTTTGTTCAGCGACTGGGCTGGGTCATGCTGTAAAATTTAGTAGAAAAATACCCATAGACGTAGACTATTTGTCTATACTGGAATACCAAGCAGTTGTATTTTGATTTTTTTTAAGATCAAACAGCTTTTGAATAACTCTCCTGATCTTTTTTTGTTACAAAAAACAACTTACACTGTTATCTCTGCAGAGACCTGGTGGACCTTATGGTTTGAAAATGGCTTATATTTGAACACTACTGAAAAAAACACTACAAAAACGTGATGGTTGGCAGAATAGTAATTGCTACCATCTAATGGCATTAATTATTATCTTAGAATTGATTATGTTTGGGTTTGATTTCGCCCTTTGATTCTTAAATGCAGATGATTGATTGCTCTACATCTTGGAGCACCAGTAACACTTGTTAGGTCTTTGTGTCAGTCGCTGCAAACAGATTATAACCCACATGAGTCACTGGTGAGTGTGTGCTGTTGGTAATTGCCTGGTCTGTAGATGTAACACCTTCAGGGCAGCAATGTGACTGTTATCTAGAACATGTGTTCTCTGCAGTGTTGTCTTAAATAATTTCTTTCACAAACATGCACTTTAAAGAGCACTCTCTGCATATTTAAGAGCCAGGGGTAAACGAGTTGCTTCCTGCAGCAGTTGTTAGGAGTGAGATTCCTGCCAAGTAAACGAATGTACTTACAGTTACCTGTAGCCCAGGAGATTAAACTCTGTCTTTCTGTCGTGAGCTGTTTCTCTGATTGGTTATTTTTCTCCCATCTTTCCCAGGAGACCCGAGTTCGTGGGCCTGTTATCCCTGTGGGATATGGTGCGGCTGGTGAACATGCTGATCGTGTTCCGCTTCCTGCGGATCATCCCCAACATGAAGGTGATTGCTCATCCCTCCACAACTCTGATTTCTTTGTCGGGCACGTCATAAATTTTGTTCCAGCCTTTCAGAATAACATACAGACTGCAATTCCTTTGCCCATGAGTGGGATTATAGCTCAGCTCTGACTGTCCTGGCTGTTGCACGGCCCCTCACAAACTCCCTGTCTCTGGGGCTGGTTTTCTCTGTTGGGGCAGCAGACAAGCTCTGTTGGTGTGGTGGCAGTTGATGCTGCTGTTCTAAGGTGGGCAAACTTATCCAGAAACACTCGTGCAGCTTGTGTGGTACTTCAACCTTAATTAGGTGAGTGGCTGGGATATCCTTGGAGAACTTTGTACTAAGGAGGAGTTAGAATTGCTTTCACTAAATACTGCAAGACATTTGGTAATGCAAAGGGTTTTGTGGGATAAATCCCTCTCCACCTTCCCAGTAGGGGTATTTCCACCACAATACATGTACTTGAATCAGAAATCACTTTGATTGTTTGTTATAATCCTGCATTTACTTGCTTAAAAGCTAAGCCCACATTAATGTCAGGCGCAGGATTTATATCTCACTTCAGTAAGCCATAAATACCAAACCTGATGTAATCAGAGGTCATGCTGTCAGTGGAAAGTGTAAAATAGGAATTATGGGGATCAAATATGAAGCAGTCACCCTGGAGCTGGGAGGTGCTGGTGTTTTGCTTGCCTCCCATTCTTTCTAGTCTTACTAGACATACAGTCCTTTAGGTTGCAGTGCCTGTATATATTTAAGACTTATGATGATGTCTGTCTGTGAAAAAGACTCCTACAACATTGTTCATTCATTTTAAATAAATCATGGAAATTTCTCTGTGTCAAAGATGTCCTGCATGTAGACATAGTTCATTTTCCCCATTGGTATTTCTTTGTCCTTTAAGTAAAAATAATTTGATGTGGAATGGAAGTGGGATGAATGTCATACATGTACAATTCTGCTTTGTTTTAGTTCATGGCTTTGGTTGTCACTACATTGCTGGATCTGGTAAAAAACTTAAGAGCCTTTGCAGGAATCCTCGTGGTAAGTCATGATGCAAGATTGTCATTTGCTTTGTTATAGTTAGCAGTCTGATAAGGGTATGTCTCCAACAAAGTTAACAAGTATCCTGTACAGTCACCAGGATCACTAACATTTCACCTCAATCAGCCAGTTCTTCTCCAGGGCATGTGTTTGAAAGCCAGGACAAACTGCTGTTTTGTTATGGCCTGTGCACAGTGGCAGTGCCTCTTTTATCAGGAGGATCTTTATAAGAGTGACTGAAGCTTCCTTAGAGTGCTCGCCTCAGGCTGGATACTCTGGTTGCAAATCAAAATTCATCCATGCTAAAAGCAGACCAGTTTTCCTTACCCTGATTTGCTTATTAATATTTGCTTAATAAATAGCAGAACCACTTGAAAATTGTTTTCCTGTTGAGAAGGTCTTGAGATGGCATGTTTGGACATGACTTTTAAAAGCCTCCTGTCATCCTGTTTGGGGGGTGTCTGTGTAGAGCATGTGCTCTGTAACCGTGTGATTAAAGGGTGGATCACCATGCATGATGTCCATTGCATAAATCCTCCCAAATCTTGAGTTTCTGGCTTTCCAATGATGTCTTCCTGGTAGAGCAAAGAAGTGCCTGGGTAGGTTTTGTTTTGTTATCGTCCGTGGGGTTTTGTAGGATACTTAATTTTGAGGTAGTGGCTAGAGACCAATGATTTGTTGTTCTAGTCTATACTTTTAGCATGCAATTTAACCAGAATGTCTGTTTTGTCATTAATAATCTCTACTTTTGTCTGTAGAGAAGGGGCCCTAGGTTGGTGTATGTTGCACCTTGAAATAAAGATATTGGTTGGGGCAAAGCAAATTTGGTAACAACTTTTGTTGTGCTCTACAAGTCACACTTGCCACTGGGAGCTACTCTTGGAACTGAGAAGTATTTTCTTTCACTCCTGAAAGAAGTGGTGGGAACCTGTAGAGATAGGCTTGATTTTTATTTTCATAAAATATGCATTAGTGTTTCACTGTAGAGTCTCTATGAGTATATGTGAGACATGATTCTCATAAAGTGGCTGCTGCTGATTGCCCTTAATGTCAGGAGTGTGAATTGTAGTTTTGCACCAATTGTGAGGCAAGTCTGCCACAGTGTTTGCCACTTCCATTAGTTTAATTTGCTTTTGCTCCAGGCTATGTGGAAGCTGTCACCGAGCTGCTGCTCTGCTGAAATCTGACTCCGTTGCCAGCTGATAGAAAATATCTTTCCTAAAGTTAGGCTGGAACACATGCTGATAAAGTAATGTAACTAATTAGCTAATTTCTCATGCAGTGAGGCTTTGAAATATATGTTTTTTTCAAAGAATAAAATTAATTTTATTGCCCCATCTTCTGGCAGGCTGTGAAATATCAGCTTCAACTTACTCCAGTGATGTTCAAAGTGCTGTGGTTCATAGGCCAGGGCAGTTCTCTTCTGTTCCTCCCAGACTTCCCCCTGCTTAGGTCTGTTTGTAACAAAATACAAAAAAAAAAATAATTTTCATTTGAAGACTCAGCTTGTTTCAAGCTTTCCTGGGACAAGCGGCTCTTTCTCAGAGGAGCAAAGCTGCAGGTTATTTCTAGAACAATCTTTGTAGGATAAAAACTGGAAAATCACCCAAGTGACTGCTAAAGACTGAAAGGCGTCTCTTTAAAAGGAGGTTTGCATTTCCAACAAGTAAAAGAAAGGAGTGTCAAGCCCCTTTGTGTTACTGAAAACTTTATTTTTAGAAATTTTTAAGAAAGTTGCTGGTGTAATATAAAATACTGACTTGGTTTTGTCCTTCAGTTAAGTTTAATAAAAGCTTATTTTCACTGAATCTAGCAGAAAACGCCCTAAATAAAAATATTTAGATTATGCTTTGTAAATACTGTCAGTGTGTTTTGGTTTAAGTTGCTATTCTGCAACCTTAACAGTTAAATATCAGCATTCTGAGACACAAAAAAGCGAAACTGATCAAAAAGTAAAATAGATCATAAAATAAAAGGATTTAATGCATTTTAAGAACTGAAAGTTAAATACAATATTAAAAACTAAGAGCAAACAGTTAAGCTGGGGAGTATTTTCACTGTAAAAGCTTCAGGCGTTGTTCTTGACGTAATTCCTTCACCTGTGGTACAAATATAAATTCCATATTAATTGCATTGCTTTCTCATTTAGTGACAGAAATATTCAAAGCTAATAGCTGCTTGTATTCCTTCCAGGTGGTTTTCTATGCATTTGCTATCACTGGCATAATGCTGTTTAAAGGTGCCGTTGTTCCCTTGGGAAACACCAGGTAAGGTTTTCAACGTCACTGCTCACAAAGAAACCTGTCTTTCAAAAGCATCTGTTTGTGGTTGTTTTGTTGTTGTTTGTTTTCTCTTATTCTCGGAGCTTAATCTCAATGTTTTAATTTTAATGTTAAATCGCAAGACTTTATCTTCTGTTTCTTCTTGCTGCACTGAAATTGCAGGAAGGCTTGTCTGGTTTTGAGCTGTTTCCCTTGTTTTCTGCCTTTGAGATACTGAACTTTCTGCGAGGCACTCGGGGTAATTTTGGTTTTAAGGTACAGTTTGCAGAAAGCTGTGTTTACATCAGCCTGTAATTCTCCCACAGTGCTGCCAACACAACATTTGCTAATGGCACTTTGCAGTGTGGCACCTACGAGCAGCTGGAATATTGGCCCAACAACTTCGATGACTTTGCTGTGAGTGTGATCGCTGATGAAATCCTTCCCTCTTCCCCTCTGCACTTGTCTCTCCTCATTTTCTGAGCCTTGAGGGTGTGAGAAATAACCACTGAACTTCTGTTCTGCTCACATTATTTAGGCAGCAGTGGTGACCCTCTGGGATGTGATGGTGGTGAACAACTGGCAGGTCTTTTTGGATGCGTTTTCAAGATATTCAAGTCCGTAAGTAGCAGTAACAATACTGAAAAAGTCCCCTATAAATCCAGCTTGTAAGGTAACTGAACAAGAATTATGCACATGGCACAATTCCATCTGCTAAGAGGGCTGCTGCTTACCTTTCTTTCGGAAATTCAGGTATAAAGGAAAGAAATTTAATGCTTTTGTGTTTTCTCTGTGGGTGAACAATTTTTTTGGCAGACTTAACCCCTTGGACATCTCTTTCATTTGTATTTAATGGCTTTATGGGAATGTTTGAATGAACTGGGTGGCTTCTGGGTTGAGCTGTTCCAGTGCTCCTTGGCTGGTTATCCCAAGCCCTTAGTTAAGTTCTACAGGCTGCTGTGTGGGATAAATGTTTAACGTGGTCTGGAGGAGGCTGGACAAGTCATGACAGAGAAATCCATTGGATCTGGAGTGAATGGAAGCTCCCTGTAATTGAAGAAATCTCTGAACTGCAAACAGTTGGAGATTGGGGAACACTTAGAGGGTAGCAACACAGATATTTTGCCATGGTTTTGCACTCTTTCCTATGTTTCTGCTTTCGACCATTCCAAGGATACTATCCCAGATGGATCTCTTGCTGTGATCCAGCACAGCTTCTACTGGGCTGCTTTTCTGTCCCTTCAGAGTTCAATTAAGCAGGTTGAGTGGGGAGAGTGAGTCTGTTTGGCTGATTTAATGAAGGGCTAAGATTTTTATATTTTTAGGTTTTTTTATTCCGTACCTCGTTTGACATCAGAAAAGGAGTAGTATTATAGTTCAAGGAAAAATGTGATTTCATGGTGCTCTGCTCACTTTCAGGCTGAGGGTATTTACTTTACTTATTGTCTGTTAATCTGATGTGCAGGTGGGCAAAGATCTATTTTGTAGCCTGGTGGTTGATCTCCTCTGTCATCTGGGTTAATCTCTTCGTAGCTTTACTTCTGGAGGTAAGGAAATGTGTTTATTTGGTATTGGATCCCAAAGCTGAGTTCTAATTTGTGCAGGAAGTTAAAAGAACCCAGACAACTTTTTGGGAATAGTATGTTGGGCTTGTGTGTGTGCTTGCTTTACCTTTCTCCTCGCTGCCCTTCCCCTGAGGAGTTAAGGAAGTTGGTTTTTTTCCTAGACAATTGTATGCTTTACTTGCAGTTTTGTCACAAAACTGGTTGCATCTCATTGGGTATGTACATTTTCATTACATCACTCTCTATAAAGATGAAAAATATTATAAGTATTATGAAATTGCTTGTCTCTTGTACATTTGCATTTAACTTCAGCATTAGTTATTCAAGCTGCAGGCTTTTTGCCTTTTAATGTATCAGCAGATGAAGTTAGCTCTTCAAATTTTTAATTTATTTGGCTCTCCAGTGGTTCTTCCCACCCTGATTTGAATTTACCATTGTTCAATTCCACACTAGAAGAGTGGAACTGATTATTTTTTTTCAAGAGACCATATTCTAGAGTCTTTTAAAGAAGCTGTGGAAATGGAGGTACCCAAGCAATGCCATGAAGAACATATAGTTCTACTAGTTTCTTGTGTATGTTTATCCTGCAAATCCAAATTTCTGATGGTGAAGGGAATGCTAATCAGAACCATCTCCTCCAGTTTAATAATTGTAGACTTCTCTTATAAGTAATGGAAGGAACTGAGTACCTGTAGAGGGCACTTCACCCCATCTCAAAACCTCTAAAAGTTTCTCTGGGAGATGTTTTTGTTGTTGCTGGCAGTATTGAGAATTTAAATTTGTTATAGTAGAAAGAATGGCAAACTTTCAGTCCAAGACATCTTCTGTCTGCTTACTTCTGCAGGGCCAAAGTTTTTGCTATAAGAGCCAAGATGCAGCATTCTGGAGCAGGAGAGCAGGATCTCACTACTTTTCCCCCCCCTTTTTTCCCCCTCCTGAGCTGTCTTGTCTGCTCCCCAGTTATTAATTTGTCAGTGTTATTCAAAATGGGGAAGGGAACGTGACAAAACCAGTAGCTGAGTTTTAAGCTGTGATGCCTGGACTAGCAGTAGGTTTATATACAGTTGGGTTTTTAAAGTGGGAGAAATTCAGAGCAGGTAAAAATCTGTGGGTAGTTCACGTGGTTGTCTTGGGGAGGCAGTCCTTGCTAGGAGCAGAAGGCAGCAGGACTCTCTTGTGCTCTGCTGTTCTTTCAGTTTGTGATGAGAAAGTTATTTCTTTCCTGAACAGCAGGCTCGAATAAAGCAGTGACCCACAGCCAGTAAATGTGCTCTGGCACTGTGTTTAAAAACAAAGCTCACCCTCCTCCCAAACCTTACCTGCAGAAATAGTGACTGGACATTTCTGATGTCATCAGAAGTAGTCCTTTTAATTTTTCCCTGTTCCTTTTACATTTCAGAACTTTATTCACAAGTGGGACCGTCGCTGTCATCGAGAGTCTCTTTCAGATATTGAATACCAGAGGACAGTGGAACTAATGTTCAGGTGAGTTGGACTGGATTTGATAATCAATCTAGTTTTTTTATGTTCTGTTTTACAGGAAATGTGCTGCCTGCAAGAGGGCAAAGGCTTGTCTTCCATTTCCTCCCTCTGAAGCAAACTGTTCTATCTGTTAGTTAGGAGAAAATCAACAAGTGCTTTACTTAGGCCTGGTTTAAGCTGATGTGGAAGCCTAACCTTTATGTGCTTTGTGCTCGTAGCAGGGTGGGAGAAGAGGTGCTGGGGGTGAGGGGAACAACTGCTGAGGGGGACAAAAACAAGGGAGAGAAGAAAAGGGAAGATGAGAAAAGTGATGCGTGTTCTTGGCTTATTATGAAATTGTGGGTGGTGAGTTGAGACTTGATGATCGTGTATGAGTGGAACTTCTGGTGCACTTTGGATATTCAATAGTAGCACTGGGAGCATGTTCTCATCTGGGAGTTTTTTCAGGAAAACAAATCTACTGACCTTCACTTGTGTTGTACTGTGTGCAGGAAATTGCTTCCCTGCTTCTTGTGGGAAAACAGCTGCTGGTTTCCATGACACATCTGTAGAGGATGGATCATTTGCAAGTAGATGCATCTTTAGGGAGCATCAACTTATTGTGATTTTAATTCCTCGTTTCGTTCTTGAAACGAGCACACGTCACATCCTCAGTATGTGCATTGCTAAAACAAATGCTGAGAAGCTCCCTTTGCTGCCCCTAACAACTCATGCTTTTTCTTTGTAGAGATGTTTTGGAAGAACCTACAGAGGAGGAGTTGATGGAAAAACTGCACCAGCACCCACACCTGCAGTTATGTAGGTGACTGGTGGGAAGGACTGATTTGTTTAGACCTCTGTTTTCTTGAGGTTGTCAGCTGGAAGAAACTGGATTTTCTGTGAGATGCTGTTTAGGAAGAGGGGCTTGTAGGACAGTATGTGAGGTTTTGCTTGGCAATTCTCTGCAGGAAGTTATTTTATTTTTGGGTTCATATCTTTTTTGCAGAAGATTTGAATCTTGCTAACTTGACTTGATTTTAAGTTGCAGTTTTAGAGGAGTGTTGCAGCCGTTATTTTTATAGACTGTTGATATCAGAACATGTTTTATTTTCTTTTTTAAGAGGGAAAGTGTGTTTAAAATGACAGTGCACTTTAAAAGATGAACTTTATAACCACTAAGCCTGCTACTTTCTTCAGCACAGGAAAATGGAACTGCCTTTTCTGGCAATGTGGCAAGGGCTGTGCCCTGCAAGTCACGAATGGATTAGGCAGGACCAGAACAGAACCCTTAATCTTTTTGTAGTGAGAGTTGAAACACTATTTTTGCTGTAATGTGACACCAGCGTATCTTACCGAATTTTCAGGAGTTAATCCCGTTGGAACACAACCTGTTTCAGCTTAGGAACGGGGGCTGCCTGCTTTGCACATCCTCTGGTTTCCTTTGCTTTTGCTCAAGGGTTGGTGCCGGTTGTGTCGTGCTGGTCGCTGTCAGAGCAGCTACAACTGCGACCAGAGCAATTGCACTTGTGGTAAAAACTGAGCTCTTCTGGAGTAAACATTCTCATGCTGCTTTTTAGTGAACCTCTTCCTTTTACTTTCCTGTCCTGCCGCTGTATCATGTTCCCTGAAAGAGCTGAACTTTGGCCGGAATGTTGCGCCACGATCGCTGCCGGTCTCCCACTTAAAGGGGGATGGGGGGGAAAGGTTGAATGGGATAATCAAAGTGCTCAGCAGTTCAAAATTTTAATTCTAGTCTGTGGGATTAGAAGGTGCTTAACCAGTATTGCAAGATCACATACTTTTATGGCTTAATGACCACACGCTCCGTATCACTAACTTTTACCCAGGTAAAACTTTTTTGGGTAAGTAACTTTTGTGTCCGGGTGCTTTTCACTGTCCCTTAGTATTCCTCTGAAAAGGTGATTTTTTTTTTTTGTTTGAATTTTCGTCCTGTGAATAGTAAATTGCTGTGAAGATCAGAATGAATCCCAACTGCTGTTTTGAGATGTAAAAATGAAACTGCTCTTTGAGGTGCTGCCTTCTCATGGAGACACTTGTCACCAAAACAGACACTGTTGTGGTCCCTCTGTAGGGACAAGGGCTTGGGGAAGGTAATTGTCCATAAAACACTGCTACTACTTGTAAGTTATTTGATTCTTTTTTTTTTTTAAAGATAAAAAACAGTTTTCAAAAGTGCCAAGCAATCATCCTGTGTACTTTTCCCTCTCTTTTTTTCTCATTAGCCTCTCTTTCTGTCCTGCATGAGGGAGAGGAAAAGTACACAGGATGATGGTGCATTTTCACTCAAAATTTTCACCTTGTTGTCTCATTGTTCAAAAGTGGCTTAATGATTCTTGTCTATGTGTTTCTTTATCTTTTTGCTCGTATTTTCTTTTTGCTGTGGAGTGAAATGTGTTGTAGCTTCTACATGTGTAGAACAAAACTGAACTGAGTTCTGGGCTACTCCTGCAATCTTTCTTTACTTTTGTAATCTTGCATCTTAAGCCAGGCCCTTGTCTGTGTTCAGTCTCTTGTCTCTCTTCCAGATTAAGCTCCCCAGGAACTCACTTGCACTGGTTCCAGTGGCATCACTGTGCTTATTTTCAGTCATGCACTTAAAACACTCATCATGGCAAGCTGATAAAGGCATCAGCACTGTTTTTTCTAGTTTTGAGTTTGGTTTTTTTCCAGTATGGCTTTATGTCAGGATGGTTTCTGCTCCTTCTAGCATGATGTATAATCACTTCCACCAATTTATTGGCACTTATTACACAGTGGTTAAATAGTCTATTTTACCTTTTTACTGAAAATAAAAAGTTATTTTTTTTCCACTTTTCTGAATACTTGAAGTAGTTTTGCCTTGCCAAAAAAGGAAGTGTACAGTTGTTACCAGTTTAATTATTGTTTTGGCCTCCTAAGGTTGTTTGGGTTTGGGTTTTTTGTTTGCTTTTGGTTGGGTTTTTTTTTTTGCCATTACATTCCACTACAATCTACCAAAGCAACACAAATCGGTGTGGGATTATCATAAACATCACAACTGTCTCCGTTATGCTTTCTTTGCATCTGGGCAATGTGAAGAAGGCATTCTGAAGGGAATAGTCTCTCTTGTTCTTGTTTCACATTGGTGTAATTGCCTGAAAGTGTAACTAGAATTTAATACAAAATTGTGGCACCTAATGTCACTTGAACTGGAAGATGTAAATGACCACATTATGCAATAACTGTATAAAATCATGAAAATGAATGTACATAATAAGGTTAAACTTGAGGATTGCATTATTAAAAAAAGTTTTTCTCAAACTGTGGAAATAATTAAGGTGTTGCAATGGTTCTTGTGGTTTGTTTTTTGCCTTTCCCTTGCTGCTGATTTCTGCAGTGCTCAACATCTCTGCTCCCATTATCTTTGCTGGTCAAAGGCTGGGCCCATGGAGGAGGTTACATGCACGTGGAACACACCTGCCTGGTTTCAAAATGCAGCACCTAAAGGATGCTGCTCTGTTATTCTCCAGCTCTAGAGGCACAGAACATCATCTGTAGGTACTTGGGACGCTGAATTCCCTCATTGGAACTGGGCATTGGGGGCGTTGAGCAGGTTGACTTTCACTTGTGCTTCAATCTCTACAAACCAGGTATCCCTTCATCTCCTCCTGGAGAGATCAGTGCAAAAAGCATCCTGCTAGCATTTTGACTGGGGCAGATTTTGCCCACGATTTAGCAGAGTTCGTGGCATTCTTTTGGAACAGGTTCTGATTTAGAAGATGGTGGATTTTTTCAAGGCAGAACAAAGTCAATCCTGGGTCAAGCTGATGTCTCTGACAGCGGTTGTGGCAGATTCTCAGGTGAAGCACGTGAAGGCCAAAGCACAGAGAAGATCACCTTGTGTTATTAAGTCAGGATCAGATTTTTCTAGCTTCTGAAGGAGGACGTTAGTCACCTAGTTAAGGCTAATTTGAGATTGCTCAGCTATTTTATTTTTCCTTCTTGATTTACTGTGAATTTTTATTGCTATAAGATTTAGGAGTGGAGGGAGAGGATGGATGCAATTGAAATGTCCCTGATTCTTTTAGTAAAAACACAGTGATAAACCTCACAAGCACAATTAACTATGAAATAACATAAACTGGTCGAGCTGCAAAAAGGCAGCTGGAATAACTTAGAAACTGTGTAGGAATTACAGACAAAGGAAGAAATAGTGTCTTGGGTGTCAAGGGTTTATATGAAGAAGCATGAGACGTGCTTTCATGGCCTCTTTTGGGGTTATGTGTACATCTACTGACACATTTTGGGGAACATTGCTTTTTATCCCTCCAGCACTTCCTAATGTGCACAAAAAAAAAAAAATAGGGGCATACAAAACTATAAGATAAAATAGGTCCTGTGGGAAAATGATGGGGGGGTATAGATTAATTAACTCTGATATGTGAGGTAAATATGTCTCTTACCCTGGTAGATGGTTTATCTTTTCACCTACCTGTATATTAAGAGTAGTACATAGTGTTACCACAGCTTTTGCTACAGTTTAACATTGTGCTTTAGTCAGGTGAAGTAATTCCAGAGCTCTGTCTTGGGTTTTTATTGAAAACAAAATAAAAATAGACGTTTGCCTGCTTTTTTTTTTTTTTATGTAGGTGTTAATGATTTTTTTCTTTCACTAGATGTTTTTTTTTGTCTGATTAAAAGCCTATGCAGCTGTTGGGAGTTTTCCACAAATCAAATGGTTTTGACTTAATCTGCAGTCTTTAGAAACATGCAGAGCCATTTGTTATGTGAGCTCTGGGTAGAAATAATTTGGGGTTGGGGAGTGGAAGGATAAGATCGTGTTTGTAGTCCATCTCTAAGCAATATATATGACACTGTTCCAAAATGACCTTTATAAACCAGAGGAAATTACCAAAATTTTAAAGTAAAATTTAAGAGATGAAATCATAACAGTGCATATTTAAAGTACAAGTCAGGGAATAAGTGGTATTAGAAGACAAATATTATAGGGCTGATATTCAATACAAATTGAGTGAACCAACAGC